CCAAGTTTTCTTTTTCAGCATATGCAATTAAGGGAAGAGAAGGGTTTACTCATGGGGGCGTGGTAAAGAGGGAGTCCTTCATGGACATCCAATGTCCATCCACTGTTTGGACATTTAGATTAGATAACAATAATATAACCAGGATGGCTTGGGTCTAAAATGTCCCCCAGGTTCTCTTGCGTGTGGAGGGTGACCGGCTCATGCAGGTGCTGTCCCCCTCAGAGGATTCACCCACTAATGAGTTTAAGAGCTAAATGTGCTGATAGGAGGTGGGACGTGATGTCACAAATATCCATTTTTGCCTCATTTTAGTGCAGATTATATTTTGGGTTTGACATATGTAAGTTTTAAAACTTAATATATGTATAGATATTAATCACAAAGGTTGCCACTGAGGTTTGGGAGCCTCTTGTATCGTACTGCACTGGTCAGGCAGCTTATGGGACTCTTTCTCATTTTCCTGTTCTTCGGGTTCCAAAATCCGCAAATTCCAGGTTTACCACAAAAAATAAACCACGTGAACTGATCATTGATAACCTCCTAAACTGTTTTATAGGCGCAAAGACTTCTGGAGTTTTTCCACCAGTGAACTCTTTTAGTACTGCTTGCAAAGTTATCTGGCCCAAATCATGTCCCACCCACACCCCCAGACCCCCTGTAGGCAAGGAGTGGGTCGCAAGCTTCCTGTTACCTCTTTCCCATGACTGGGTACATATAAGCAGTGTGGTTTGTTCTGATATTTTCAAACATTACCCTTAAGAGCCATTTTGACTTTCTAAACAGAAGACTCTGTTCTTCACATAATTTCTGTATTACCTACAAATTTCAATTAGAAAAACTTTAAATATTTTGTACAAATATTTTAGCAAGTAAAGTCTGATTTAATGAGAGGCTTGCTGTTTGTGCTTCAGTGAATAAATGAGACTTGCTTGTAATTATCAGCGTTCTTTTTTCAGATCTAATCTGTTACGTTAAAATCCATGACAACACTGGGTATTTTAAAATAATTTTCCAATTAATTGCATAGTTCCAAATAATAGATCATGAAGTGTGAATTAGTCAAAATTCCAAATCAATTTTAATTTCTTATAATAGTATTTTTACTTATTTCAGTCGTTGAGGATTAGCTGCTGTATGAAGATGTCATTTTTCATTCTGCGTGCTGCTCAACCACAGAATTTCCAAAATTTTAGCAGTTTTTCCAGAATGTCCTGTGGCAAAGCGTTAGACCCACATGGTGTATCACAAGCAACTAACTTGGGATCACATAAATTTGTGAATCTTCAGTGCTGAAGCTATAATACTTCCAAGACTCTTTTGATAATAATACAATTTCAACAAACCAGAACTTTTAGCACCTGCATCTGTCATCCCACATAAAAACCTTTGGGAAGATAGTTTTGAAGACTGATTTCAAACTCCTTGCTCCTGCGTTCCAGGTTTGCTGGCTCCGGAACTTGTCAGATAGCTCACACTTTTTCAAACTGAGTCTTTTCATTGTTTCCTACACCACTGACAGCTCTGCTTCCCCGGGCACACCCCCGTGTGGCAGTGTTTGCAGCTGAGACTCAGTGAGTGCTCTCCCCCGTCCCCCCTCCACATCCTGCTCTTCCTTCAGCACTTAGGTGATGCTGTCCTGGGTTCTGCGCCTTTCCTCAAACCTCTAAGTTTTTCTTACTACTTTCCTTGCACTGCCAGTCCTTGACTTATTCTATTTTTAATCCACTCTTCTCCCTTCTCAGCTCTGCTCTACATTGGAAGATCATCACACTCTTAGCTTGCAAATCCTTTTCTCCAGGCTTCTGGTTTTCCAGCCAAATGAGTCCTGTGAATGGCTGGAGGGGCAGGAATAAAGGCATTTCAGCATTTCCCTTTTTTTTCCTAGAAACGTATTTTCTCCAAAGCTTCTGCTTCTCTGAGATAGGCCCACTGTGCATCAGCTCCCTTGAGTAGCTTTGGCCTCTTCCTTCGGGCAGCATGAGCAAGTTTTTTCCTCTAAACATCAAGCTAACAATAGTGGCATCTTGCAATGTTTAATTGTTTTAGTTTTGGTTTTGCACATATTCAATCATAAGCCTCTGTATGAAATCTCTTCCATTTATAGACTCTCAGCAATGTTTATTTTCTCTATTAGGCCTTCATTGATATGCCACACAAGCATTTTCTTAATTGCTATTAACTAACTGTCATAAGATTCTCCTGAAGTTTTAAATTGTGTATTGTCAGTTCCTTCATATTACAGTATTTCGATATCACATTGCTAGAAACAGAGGCTTACATATAATCAAAAGTTCACGTGGAGAGTGATGCTTTGGGAGGTTTGTAAAAAGAACAGCTGATAATTGTTACCACATTTTGTGATGTGACATGAAAACATGGCCAAAACTCCTGTCACTAACTCTGGTAACTCTTTCAGCTCTTTGAGTTGGAGTGTAGAATGTCCCTGGTCTTTTGTATTCTTATTATCATCAACTTATCTTCCTTCCTATGCTATAAACCCCTATCTTCCTTCAATTCACTGCTCACCTATCCCTTCAGGAAACTGGTTAATAGGTGAACTCTCTTTTGAAGTTACCTTTGAAGAGCGCAAGAGATAGTCTCTCTTTTCATTGAACTATTTCCAACGATGTTGGCTCATTTCTCCCACTTGGCGAGTAGGCAGCTGTGTGGCTCGTATCTGGATGTCCTCCAAAGGCCTCATGCATTCTGAGGTGGTACTGTTTTGGAGGTGGCTGAATAGAGTCTGTGATTGATTCGTGGTACAATGCTAGGATTGAGGTTGTGTGTGGCTACTAAACCAGTCCACTGATTGGTTCGGCACAGCCCTAATCCCAGGAGCCTAGATATAATATAAGGGAAAGAAAGGGACTTATAGGGTCCCTTGCTCCCTTGTTGCTTTTGCTGCCTCTGCCTGTCTGCCAGGCCACTCTGCCTTGGAGCCAGCCGATTATGAACTGAAACCTTTACAGACAGTGAGCTAAATAAACCTTTCCTCCCTTCACTTTGGGTGTCGGGTGTTATGTTGCAGCAATGAGAAAAGTAACGAAGGCACCAGCATTATTCAATGGAAGTTTGTTCTTTTCTGTGCAATGCAAAGAGTATAAACACAAGATGAAGAAAAGCTCACAATGAAAACGACAACCATAATCATCACTTTTAGAACCACAGTTCCCCAGAGGGACAAAAATCAATGAAAATATAACCCTTCTAGGTGTTTATTTGTATATGTAATTTCCACGAGTTTTCTCCAAAGTTGAATTTTTCAACCTCTCTTGGCCTCATTGGTGAAGGAGTTAGTTTTTTAGTGAAAACTATTTTCCTTCTTTTTAGAACATCTTTCTGGTGAAAGACTTAATATAAAATCAACTTGCTCCGTTTTTGAGAAGCCTCTGAATTATTGAATTATTCAGCGGACACGAGCAGACAGATTTCTGTTAGTCGCCACTAGGTGGCAGCAGCAATGCGAAAGCCCCGCTGGCCATAACTGTCAGTTTGCAAAGTTGCAGAGAAGTCTTTGTGTGCGTGTGCCCGCGTTTGTGTTTCGCTTTATTGTACTGATTTGCCTTATGCGGGGGTAAAAAAGGGAAAGCTTTAATTGCTTATCATAGGCAAGCAAAGGAACCTACATTTTCGTTTCTGTTGGACCGAAAATCTTTTGTTATTAGAGGCCTCACATGGACTTCAGTGCCTTCCACACTATTCAAACTAGTTCCGGATCTTTTCGGGACTGCGGAAAAGCAACAGGGCATAGTAATACTGGAGTAGCGCATACAGGACATACAGATGTAAAGTGGAATAGGAAAAGTCAATAATAATAATAACAATAAAAGTAATGCTATTTTTTCAGGGTGAAAGCATGCATTTTCTAAATTAATCTCCATAATATACGTACAACACAAAATAGTATAAATGGTAAAGACCCTGACAAATGAGTTTAATTAAACTAAATTTTGTTTAAAATACCTGATGACTTTTTCTAGAGGAAAAAATATAAATAGATTTAAAAATAAAAATCCGTTTATATAGGAGTATAAATATATATAAAATATAAATAAGCCAGGAGTGGTGGCACAGGCGTGTAACCTCCGCATTCTTAGAAACTGAGGCAGGAGAATCACAAGTTTGAGCCCAGCCTGGTCAGTTTAACAACTTAGTAAGATACTGTCACAAGTTTTAAAGAGGGATTTTGGCAGGCTGGAATTGTAGCTCAGTACTAGATTCAATCCCTAGTAGCACCAAAAAAAAAAAAGAAAAAAAAAGAAAAAAAAAAGAAAGAAAGAAAGAAAAAGAAAAAAAGAAAAGAAAGAAAGAAAAGTAAAAAAACAGTATATAACTTATTTTATGTAACATATACTTTATATACTTTGTTTCAATTTTTCAAGAGAGAGTGTTTTGGAAATTGTTGACACTGTCTCCTGAGGATCTAACTGGAGCTGTCTTACACACACACACACACACACACACACACACACACACACATACAAATGCTACGTGCTTTAGTCCTGAGACGAGGATAAGCCTCTTTATTCAACCTCTACATGGAAGTGGACAGAAGGGGCCGTGGAAATGTGAATCGTTCCACCTTTAAACAAAGACTATACTATAACGGGTTCAATGGGATGTTTCATTCCCACTGTGTCCGTAGGATACATACACAGCAACATGAGATAAATGTGAGAATAGATGGAGGCGCTGAAAATGTGAGTTCCTGCCCAAACCATTCAATAACTGTGGTTCCTAATTTCTTCTTGACCAATGATACTCTGTGGGCAGTATAGCTTCATGAGACCCCAACAAAAACTTTAAAATTCCAAGTAGTTCCACAAGCTTCTTTTTAACAAGAATCCAAATGGATCTGAGGATATGCCAGATTATGGCCAACAGCTCAGATATCTTTCAGCACAGCACATCTGATGCTATTCCCTTGCCAACGCCAAAGAGTCAGGTTGATCCTTGTCCCCTAATGTTCAGGAGGAAAAAATAAAATACTGGCTGCTCACCCCTTGTCCGTGGGACACTTAAGTGCCTTATTCCTCAATGTGTCTTTCAATGGTATAAATAATCTTTGTGCATTCTGGAAATCCCTCCATTCTTACCATTTCCTAAAGAGTAAAACAGAGATAAGAGATATAAAAAACAATAACAGTGAGGACTATTGGTTAGACATGGATGGCTAAGTAAAATGTCAGACTTTATTTATTATTTATTTATTTATTTATTTTTTTTGGTACTGGGGATCGAACTTCGGTCCTTGCGCTTGTGAGGCAGGCAGTGGAACTACTGAGCTAAATACCCGGCCCCTAAAATGTCAGACTTTAACTTCGTCAAGATTTATATTATACCAAGTAGAAAGTAAACCCTGTCCAGGCTGTCATTTTGTTTATTTTTTTTTGTAAATTTCAAAATGTCTTTGCTACATGGAGGTGACTGAAAGAACTTCGAAATTCCCATGTATTGCTTCGATGCACAGAACGAAGCTGTATGCCAAACGTGTCATTCGCAACTTGGTTACAAATTGCTTAGTAAATATTTTCCAACCTACATATTATTAGAAATATATTTCATTAATATTCAACTATGTAAGGTTTTTAATATTGAAATGAAGTGCCCTCCTATTAATGTGAAAATGTGAAGGTTTAAGAGGGGCAGAGGCAACAGCACGGTTAGCGGCTTTGAAATGGCACCTAAGAACCATGGAAAAACAGGTGATTTTCACCATGGTTATGAACCCACAGGGGTTCTCATTACTTTGTATAGAGATTCCTCAGTCCTTAATGAAGACTGCAATGCGTGTAAGCAGCAGGACATACTTGTGATACCTATGCTACTTAAGGCAAAGTTGAATTAGCATGGTGGGAAGACCTAGTGAGATAGAAACTAACCCAAATTAGTCCAAACCTTTAAAACTATATGGAAATGAAAATAAGAAAATATTTTGAGAAAGATGGACTTACTTCCTTTCTTCTTTCACATCTAGTTTTCTTATATACATTTGAAAAATCAAAGATTAAAAAATAAAAGCATCTTATTAAGAAAAATAGACTAAATTATTCGGTCTAGTGGATACAGAAGAATCCTAGGTACTGTACTTCCGGCCTTAATTTATAACCTGATGTGGAAGAGAGAAAAGATAACACACACTTTAAGCACACATAACTGTAAAGACTGCCTTGAAGCAATAGACATGGTTTTTGCAGTAGTTCAAGAGAATTTAATGGCATAAATCACTGTATTGGGGGAGAGTCACGTATTTTAAATCTTGTAAAACTCTAGAAATATTCTCCAATAGATTTTCAATAAAAGTGTTAATGAATCAAGGGACTGAAGGGTGTAGGAGGTTACTTCAGGGATAAAAGGTTCTTACCTCCGAGAATCAAGTGCACAGTTCACTGATGTCAAGCCATACTGACAGTTCTCCAGGATTCTCAGTGTAGGTCTGCACGAAAGAATACAAGTGAGCTGCACTGACTAAAATTTTAAGCTTTAAAAATTATAACAGCCATTGCTATAATGGAGCAAACATACAACTTCAAAAAATCTCAGCTATATAGATAGTTTCAGTAAGAGTAACAAATGCATTGTACTTGATCGATAGCTGGCCTTATTGAAATAAAAATCAAGAGATGATTTTAGACAGAAATATTTAAGCCCTGATATTGATTTTTAGGCACCACAGTCTTGGTGAGGCATGTACCCTGCACTGGTCTTTGTACAAGAATATGTTAGTTTTCTTGGTCTTGCAGCTTTACAAATATAGCAAAGGCATTTGTTGAGAAAGATAAAGTCCACAGTTAAACCTTCACTTCATTGTGAATTTACTTTTTAAATAAACTGTCAGTGATATGTCCTGCGTTTAAACACATATCCCCATTTCCTTTTACATAGCCATAACAAGGGTTATTAAATGCAATTTTTCTCTAGTGTGGTTTTCTAATAAAGGTTCAATTAGGTGGTTACTTTAAATATAAAACATTAGGTCACACTAGAGATCCAGTGAATCAGAACGCTCAAAGTAGGTGTCTGAAAAAATATATTCAACACATGTGTCACGGTATATTTATATTCAAAGAAGTTTGAAAGGTATCAATTCAGGGAACAGTTGGACAGAGTTTAGTATGTTCTCCTTATGTTCTACGCTGTTTTTATTTCGTCCAATTGCTAGTAGTTAATGTGCCTTATTTTGGTGATTCAATATCCATCTTACTTCCCAGGTTCTTATAATCAAAATTGTATATGAAATTAACATGCCTTGCCTCTTCTTTATATGGATATGAAGTGCTCAGAACTTCTCACCCAAGTTTGACTTTCCAAAAAATATGAGAAGTCACATAGTATCAGCTTTGTGGGTTTCTATTAGCACAAATTGTTCTCATGCATCTAAGGCCACCTCACAAGGTACAGTGCTCTATTTGAACTTGTTCTGAGAATGGTCAATTTGGCCACCATGAAAGCTTGAATTAACCCAAATTCAGTCATGATGGAAATGTACAATACACAGCCACTGTAGAAGATGATGTGAAAATTCCCTAAAAAAAAAAAAAAGGATCATCCAGTAATGCATGCATTCCTCCTTCTGGGTACATATCAAACAAATCAAGATCTTTTATTTTTTATTTATTTTTATTAAGTTTATTGCTACATTTCAGGTATGCAATAGAGTTACGTTCTTCATTGAGATCTTGTACCTTTACATGATGTATCTTGGTTATTTCTGCGCCATTCCTCAGCCTTCCCTTCACTCCCCTCCACCCATCCCTATTTGCAAAGACTTTGTTTCCATGCTTTTTCCTTTTCTCGTATTTTTCTTTCCCCTTCTTACCTTTCCCCGATGCCTCTCACTTCCCCTACTCCTTTAGACCTTTTCTTCCTATTACACAATATCAATTATACATTTTGATCCTTATTTACTCCTTTAGTATTTCACACCAGAGAAACTATTCAGTATTTACACATGTGTGTGTTATTAATTTCACTTGAGTATGGCCTCAATGTGCATCCACTTGGCTAAAAATTACTCTAGTTTCTCATTATTGATAGCTGAGTAGTACTCCATTTTATTAAAAAAAAAAACCAACAAAAAAACACATCTTCTTTATCCAGTCTCCAGCTGATGAAGAATTGGGCTGTTTCCAGGTTTTAGCTATTAAAAACTGTGCTGCTACAAATGTGGGTGAGCATATGTCACTGTGGCATGATCCTTCTAATTCTATTGGGAAGATAACCAGCAGAGAAGTAGCTGGGTCAAATGGGACTTCTAATCCTAGTTGTTTGAGGTATCTCCATATTGATTTCCACAGTGGTTACACCAGTCTGCACTCCCACCAACAATGGAGAAGCGTTCCCATCTCTCCACAACATTTGTTATTGGTCAATTTCAAGATACCAGCCATTCTCTCCTGGGTGAGGTGGAATCTCAGTGTTATTTTCATTTGCATCTCTAGAATGACCAGCAGTGTTCAACGTTTTTCATATGTTTATTTGCTCCTTTTATTTATTTGTCTGAGAAATGTCTTTTCATTTCAGATGCCCATTTTTTAAATTGGGTCTTTATATTTGTGGGGGTCTGACTTTTTAGAGTTCATTATATAATCTAGATAGAAGACCTTTGTCTGAGGAACAGCTGGTAAATTTTTTTCCCACATTGTAGGTTGTCTTTTAGCTCTGTTGGTGATTTCTCTTACAGTGCAGAGCTTTTTAAAAATATGAGATCACAGTTGTTGATTCTTTGTGCTAATACCTATGCTACTGAGGATTTGTTCATAAAGGTTTTTCCTATGCCAATACTTTCAAGAGTTCTACCTAACTTATCTTCCAGCAATTTTAGTCTTTCTGTTTTGATACTTAGATGTTTAATCCACTTGGATTTTAGTTTAGTGCATGATGAAAGATAAGGGTCTAGTTTTAATCTTTGCCAAGTTGAAATCCAGTTTTTCCAACACCATTTATTAAAGAGGCCATCTTTCCTCTAGTGAGGATGGTTGGCTCCTTTGTCAAAGATGAGGTAGCTGAGTACATCTGTATTTGTTTCTGCATTTTTTAATCTGATCCACAGATCCTCAAGTCTGTTTCTTTGACAGTACCATACTGTTTTTATCACAATGGATTTGTAGTATAGTTTCAAGTTGGGTATTGTGATATCCCCTGCCTAGAATGGCTTTTGCTATTCTAGGTGTCTTCTGGCTCCAAATTAATTTTTGGATTGCTTTCTCTAGCTCTGTGAAATATACTATTGGAATTTCAATAGGGATTACATTGAATCTGTGTGAGAGTTTTGGAAGTGTGGCCATTTTCACTATGTTGATTCTTCCTACCCAGGAATAAGGGATGTCTGTTTTCTTATATCCTCTTCAATCTCTTTTTTCAGAGTGTTGTAGTTCTCAATGTAGAGATCTTTTTCTTCCTTTGTTAGGTTAATTCCTAGATATTCCATTTTTTGGAAGCTATTGTTAAAGGGATTGTTTCCCTAATTTCACTCTCAGTAAGGCGGTTATTTGTGTACAACAAAGATATTGATTTCTGAGTTTACCTTGTATCCAGCTACTCTACTGAATCTGTCAACTAAGTCTAGAAATCTTTAGGCAGAGCTTTTTGAATCTTCTATGTAGAGTATCATACTGTCAGCAAATAATGACAGTTTAACTTCTTCCTTTCCTATCTTTAATGCTTTTATTTATTTCTCTTGTCTAATTGCTGTGGCTAATGTTTCAAAACTATATTGAACAGGAGTGGTGATAATGGACATCTTTGTGTTGCTCCTGATTTTGGCATGAAGGTTTTAAGTTTTTGACCATTTAATATCATGTTGGCTATTGGCTTTTCATAGATAGCCTTTATCAAGTTGAGATAAAGACTATCCATTTTTTTGCAGTTTTTTTTTCTTGTTTTTTTTGTTTTTGTACTGGGGATCAAACTTGGGTCCTTGCACTTTCAAGGCAGGCAGTGGAACCACTGAGCTAAATCCCTGGCCCTTTCTGCAGGGTTTTTATCATGAATTGGTGTTGAAATTTTCAAATACTTTTTCTGCATCTATTGAGATGATCATATGTTTTTTGTCTTTGACTCTGTTAATATAGTGTATTACATTATTGATTTATGTATGTTAAACCATCCTTGCATCCCTGGGACAAATCTGACTTGGTCAGGGTGTATGATCTTCTTGATGACCCTCTGTATTCTGTTTTCCAGTACCTTATTGAGGATTTTAGCATCTGTGTTCATTAGGGAGACTGGCCTGTAGTTTGTTTTATTTTTTTTGGCTGAGACTTTCCCTGGTTTTGGATTCAAAGTCACACTTGCTTCCAGGAATGAATTTGGAAGTATTGCTTCCCTTTCAATTTCATTGAAAAGTCTAAAGAGCAGTGGAAATAGTTTTTCTCTAATACCTTGTAGAATTCAGAAGTGAAGCCATCAGGACCTGGGCTTTTCTTTGTTGGTAAATTTTTAATTATGTTTTCAATTTCACTGATTGTAATTGGGGGGTGTTTAGAATTTTTATATCTTCTTCGTTCAAACTTGGTAATTTATATGTATCTAGAAATCTGTCCACACCCATGTACTTACATCAGTTTTCACTTTAGCCATGCCCACCAACAGATACAGAAAATAAACATATATGATGGCTGATCAAAACATATGCTGCATGCTTAAAGGGAAACATTTATTACAGTCAAAGACGCATTGCCATTCATCTCCTTCAAAATACTCTCTTTACTTTGAAGCACACTTACCCCACCGTTCTTGCCACTTTCGGAAGCAGCTCTAGAAGTCCTCTTTCCGGAGTGATTTTAGGAGGAGTGATTATCCTAAAGTAATATCCTTGTGAGAGACAGGTTTGGAAAAACATCACATCATGTCCTTATCCACGTTATTCATTGGATCTGTCATCACGGCTACTTCCGGCTTTTCCTAAATCCAAATGACTGTTCCACATTGTAATCTCTTCACGACATCTAGGCAGGTATGAAAAAGCAACCAAAGACATCCACCAAGGAAGACTTCCAGAACTGCTGCAGAAAGCAGCAAGAGCGATAGGAAAAGCGTGTTGAGAGTGAAGGGGAGGATTTGAGTAGGATTCGTGGCCATGCATATTGTACTGCAATATTTTTTAGCTTAAACATTCACTATGGGTTTTTTTAAAAACCATGAACATGCAAGGGAATTTTATTCACCCTTAAAAATAAGGAAATCCTGCCATTTGTGACAATATGAATTAACATAGCAGACCTTATACTAACTTAAATGAGTCAGTAAGAGATCAAATACTATACAATTCCTTCAGTTATATTTCTAAAATAGTCATACTCAAAAAGCAGAAAATAGATTGAGGACTTGCAGAAGCCAGGGGAGGCAGATATAGAGAATTTTTGCTAAGCATAGCTTTAAAGTTTTAGTTATGCAAGATAGATTCTAGAGACCCACTCTCCATTACAGAACCGGCAGATAAGAATGTCATATTGGGCACTGTACAGTACGGCTAAAAGAAAGAACTCATGTGAAGTGTTCTTACAAGTACTCAGACAGACACACACACAAATACACAGAAACACCCACACTGTGAAATGACACAAAGAAATTGTTGGAGGCGATGAATATGTTTAAAACCCTGAATTTAGTGATGGTATCCTATAGATGTTCAAGCTCATCTAAACTTATACGTTTAGTAAGTGGAATTTTGTAATACATGATTGGGATAATTATACTCCAATAAAGCTGACAGAATTTAGTACCACAGCTCTCTGGCTCTGTTATTTAAGTGTTTTCTGTGTATGACTACAGTCACCTGTTATTCCGAATAAGTATTCCTTCCTGTGGGAAAAGGATATATTAATGTTCTCCTGTGGTTAGTTCAGATATTTCCTTCACTGAGAAGAAAAAGCATTAATGCTTCTTTTTTGTGCATGTAGTGACAACTACCTCAAGGCTTTCTTACACTAAATACAGGCCCATTGGAAGTGCTTTGTTCATGATCTTTCCTTTAAAAATGAAAATAACTTCTGTTCATTTTTACTGTGTCAAATTTTTCAATTATAGGTTTTATAGGAAAATTGAAACATTTTATGTCACATGTCATAGTCACAAATTTTATGGAGTGTGTGTCTCTCTTAATTACTACGTGTACCGAAGTTGCTTTTTTTTTTTTTTTTTTTTTTTTTTTTTTTC